GTCTCAGACTCAAAGTGGAACTCTTCAGCTTTCTGAGCACGGGGACTGCAGGTGTGAGCCGCCACGCTGACTTCTGATGTTCTCTTCTCTAGCGTCTTGTTTGCCTGATAGCGGAAAAGCCACTCCAGACTTCTTGGTCTCTTATTTACATGGTGCATCTTTTTTCCTACCTTCTCAATTCCAACCTATGTCATATTTATAGTAGTCTTTTTGTTGTTGTTGTTGTTTTTCGAGACAGGGTTTCTCTGTGTAGTTTTGGTGCCTGTCCTGAGCTCACTCTGTAGACCAGGCTGGCCTCGAACTCGCAGAGATCTGCCTGGCTCTGTCTCCTGAGTGCTGGGATTAAAGGCGTGCGCCACCACCGCTGCCTGGCTCTATAGTGGTCTTTTATAGACAAGTTGAACATACTACGTAGTTGAGAACAACCCCAAACTCTTGAGTCTCCTGCCTCCACTTCCTGAGAACTGAGATTACAGGGGTTTGCCACCACGGTCAGTTTTGCTCTTGCTTTGCCCCATCCTCTTCCATTAAGACGTCTAGGAACCTCTGGCTTTTATGTGGAATTCAGCAAGAGGAGATGAGCTGGCCCAATGGCTGGTGATGTCCCAGGTAGGCAGACAAAGTGCTTATGGATTTTTAGCTCAATATTGTTGCTGGGGGTTGAAGCATGAGCCTTACTGGGTCCTTATGCTCATTTGTTCCTTTAGGATGTGTAACTGCACCCTGGGAATATGATAAACTGGATTTTCTCGGTATTTTTGTAGGCACCAGCCATGGAGGCGAGTGAGGTACCCTTTGGGCCCTCAGTGGCCATCCAAGGAGTCACTGCAGTACCTCTGCTCCAGGCAGCCTCTAGGATCCTGTGATAGGATTGAGCAGGGCCTTGGGTCATAAAATGCTGCCCCCACTTCCCACTGCAGCTCAGGGAGCAAGGTCTATGTGCCTTTCAGCTGACACAGTGCATACATTGGTAGAGACAGGTGGGGAAGATGGACGTGCCCATGCAGGTAGAAAGGAACTCAGGACAGTTGGTGGTGACATCTGTCTAGACAGATGTGACGAGACAGTCACTCTCAGTCCATGAAGCCAGACATTCACAGGAACAGGAATGTCACCTAGGGTGTGTAGGGGAACCTGGGGTATTTAGTCATCCCATGTGACAGCAGCAGTGTGTATGAGATAATGGTCAGCTAGAACTGTGAAGGGGATTGGCACCTGGGGCCAAATCATGGATGCCAGGACAAGTGCTGGGCACCTGATCACTGTGCCTGCCTGGCCCCCAGGATGTAGTCCTCAGAAAACAAAACCATGACCCAATGAATTTGGAAGATGCTGAGTCGAAGCTAAACAGCTGGGGGCCATGATGGCACGTGAGGCGGAGGCAGGTGGTTCTCTGTGTGTTCCAGGGCTACATGGTGAGGTTGGGTCTCAAAACTACAAAATGAAACAATTATCAATATATACAAATAAGAAACATGTAACAAGCCGGGCAGTGGTGGCGCAGGCCTTTAATCCCAGCACTTGGGAGGCAGAGCCAGTCCGATCTCTGTGAGTTCAAGGGCAGCCTGGGCTACAGAGTGAGTTCCAGGAAAGGCGCCGCAAAGCTACACAGAGAAACCTTGTCTCGAAAGACAAAAACAAAAACAAAAACAAAAGAAAGAAAAAAAAGAAGCATGTAACAAAATACACCAATAACAAAAACAAAACTAAAAAGCATCTCTACCCAAACTTAACATCTTCCTTTCCTCATAGGGCTTAAGCTAGATGCCAGGCACATTTGGACTCTCCCAAGGGCTTTGTGCAGAGGACAGGGTTCACCAAACTCATCTTATAGGAAAACGCAAAATCAAAACCAAGAAACTTCAACATGTAAAATTCTGTTTTAAACAGTAAAATCCACTGCACACTGATTGTGTGTGTGTGCGTGTGTGTGTGTGTGTGTGTGTGTGTGTGTGTGTGTGCGCGCGCGCGCGCGCGCGTGCGCGCACACGCTCATGTGTATATGCAGGCATGTGGAGAGAAAAACCTCAGACATTCGTCCTCACCTGCCGCCTTATCTGAGACTGGAATTTGTTGGGCACCGCTGCAGAGGCCAGGCTAGCTGGCCCACAAGTTACTGGAGATTCTCACCTCTTCCCTCATCTTGATATAGGAGCCCTAGGATTACAGATGTGTGCCATCACATCCAGCTCCACACGGGTTCTGGGAATCCAAACTCAGGTCCTAATGTTTATACAGCAACCGCTCTACCCACTGGGCCTTCTCACTGGCCCAGTTAGATGTTTACCTAGATATTCATTCAGGGGAAACTGAGGAGAGGTGGATTGTGAGGGATTGTGGATGAGGAGATCAGGCAGAAGTTGTGCTCACCCTGGATAGAAGAGTCTTTGTGAGCCTGCTTGGGGGACCCATGAGGCATGACAGGAAGCTGGGATATTTGTGAGCTCCCTGGTTTCTGGTGTAAGTCATGTCAAATCTATCTTCGACTAAACTCCTGGTATCCAGCTCTGCGTTGTGACTGTACTTGCATTGGAAATAATCCTGTGATGGTCCCCAGGGCAAAAGCCCAATAGAGAATAGTACTGTTGAGTTAAGGGTGAGCAGACAGGAAGGCAAAGCCATCAACAAAGTCTTCCCTTGAAGTCAGGGGTGGGCTGTTCAGAAAGGCAGAGATGCTGCTGACTTCCCAAGCGCAGATGACGGCAGCAGAGAGATGCCCCAGCCTGTTACCGGTCAGCCTGACTTGTGTACCTGATAACAACGTCCACTGCGGCCAAGGTGGAGTGAAACCCTCACACTATGTGAGCAACAGGCAAACGTCAAAAACCTTAATAGGTGTGTATTTATTTTGATCCAAATATCCACCTCTGAAATGTATCCTGAAGAAGACACCATGGACAGACACAGGGTATTTTATGAGACTGTCATAACATTATATGTAATATAAAACACAACTATATTATTCAATATCGTAGGCTTCTTTAAGTAAATTATGGCAGCTGTATGGTGAACAGGTACCATGAAGCCAGTTTCAAAAATCTGAGAAGTACAATGGGGAAATGTTGGAATATATCATTAAGGGAATACATATCATTAAATGACTGTAGCAAATGTCGTCTTTTTTTGTGTGTGGTAACTAATATATAAAGTTGAGAGTTCAGCTCAATGCTTGAGAATTTACTTAGCATGTACAGGGCTCTGAATGCAATCCCAGCACTGCAATACACACACACACACACACACACACACACACACACACACACACACACACACGAGACAGAGAGAGAGAGAGAGACAGACATACGCCTTAGTCATCAAGGCCTGCCCTGTGGATTCAGTCTTCCAAATAGCTTTCCCCTCTCTTCTCCCACTTCACTGTTACTCATTTTCTCTCTCTCTCTCTCTCTCTCTCTCTCTCTCTCTCTCTCTCTCCTTCTCCCTCACCCCCCCCCACACTTTTACTTGACTCCAACACCAGCACCCAAGTCTCTCCTCCTCACTCCATCCCACACTGGCCTTCAGCACCTTGGCTCTGTCTCACCTAGTCACTTTCAATGGCTACTTGGCATTATCCATCGTCTTTGCGGAGCTTTGAAGCAGCATGGAAATTGTTCTGTCGGTTTGGTTACAAGACAGACTAGTGTGTGCTCAAGACTGAAAGATTACACTAAGAATCTAATTGATATTTAAAACCTTGAAAGGATCACATCAAGATGCTTTTAAGGTGGCCATCACACATTCATTTGGAATTTTATTTTGAATACACACTGGAGAAACCATAATTGGTCAAAACCCCCATGTAGCATACTGCCCGTTATAGGCCCTTTACGCCATAAAGGTTCTCAATCTTCCTAACGCTGCGACCCTTTAATATAATCCCTCAGATTGTGGTGACCCCAACCATAAAATTACTTCCGTTGCTACTTCATAATTGTAATTCTGCTGTTGTTTACGGAATCGTAATATAAATATCTGAAATGCGATCCCTGTGAAAGGGTCGATCGACCCCCAGGTTGAGAACCACTGCTTTATGGTCTCCTCTCTCCTGGCAGCCCCTCCAGCAGCCACCCTTTGCCTACAGCCCTCCAGGTTCCACTATTGTGCGACCCGAGATAAGATGTAAGCTCTGTGTGCCTCGGTATCCCTCCTCCGGATTGCCCTCAGAGTCTGTTCGGGTTGGTTCAGCAGCTGGGTCATCAGGACCTGGCAGAAGCGCGCGGAAGGCGTGTGACCCCGGAGCATCAGAGCGTGCGCGCGTCGGAGGGAGCTGCCTGCAGGCTGTGGTCCTAGGAAAGCAAAAGGGGAAGGTGCCTGGCAGGCGACAAGCTGCGGAGGCTGGCATCTGGCTGCTTCTGGCGACGGAATGTGCCCCACCCTTGCGGCATGGCTGGCATCCGCCCGGCCCCGACGGCAGATAGTATGGGCACGTGCGGAGACGCGTGGTTGTGGGTCCTACCACAGCTCCGGGACTCAGGATCCTCTCCTATGCGGAATGACCCGGCCCACATGGGACGACCCAGCCCAGGGTGCAGGTGCCTGCTTCAGAGACTCCGACGTCTCCGCACGGAGCCCGGAGTGCGCCCCGGCAGCTGGATGGGGACCCAGAACACCCTTAATGGCCTCTCCCCGACCCTCTACCCCCGACCCTCCGATACCTACCTCGAGGTCGCACCCGTTGCTCCCACCACCCAGTGCTGCAGTAGCGGTACAGACACCGGGTGAACCGGTGTCCGCGCTTGGGCCCGCCCCCGAGCCCCCATTGGTCGTGTCCCGGGCAGGGCGGGGCCGAGGAAGAGCTCCTGGGTCTAGCCCCCGAAGGCAGGTCACGCTCCTGACACTCGCGGGTCGGCGCCCCTGGAGCCCACGTTGCCCTGCGGGTCCTACAGGCGCGGCAATCACCTGCCAAGCGCGTGGCGCTCAGTCACTGCGGAGCTGTCAGTGACAGGTGCGAACTCAGGGGATCCTCTGCGCCGTCCGGTCCTCGACGTCCGGGAGTCGCTGGATGCGCGTCCGCTGAGCATCCGAGATGGCCACGCGGATCGGACTCCTCTGGCTGCTGGGCCTGGTTCTGTGCGCTCTGGGCGTCGGCCACGGCCCGCGTCCCCCGTATGTCTTTCCCCAGCGTCGCCTGGGAGTACACGAGCGCCGAAACATGCAGCGAGAGATCCTGGCGGTGCTCGGGCTGCCTGAGCCGCCCCGACCCCGTGTGCCACCCGCTGCCTCCCCGCAGCCAGCGTCCGCGCCGCAATTCATGCTGGACCTGTACCACGCCATGGCCAATGACGACGACAGTGGATCCCTGCATTCTCACCTGGGGCGCTCCGACTTGGTCATGAGCTTCGTCAATATGGGTGAGTGCGAGGAGGGTCCGGGTGGCCTCAGTCTCCACATGGAGAGCTCATGGCCGCCTGTCTAGAAAGGACCTTCCTAGTCACCTGTTGGGAATGCTGTCCTCCGGGAGTGCGAGGACAGGGAAACACGGTGCAGCAGACACGACCACGGGAAAGGGGACTGCAGGGGTCAGGAACGGAAGATCTGAGGACTATAGCGGGTTCCCCGAGAGTGGGAATCTGGGGATGCCCAGGTCCCCTAGGTGGCACCGGAAAACAGTCGGTCCTGAAGACTGATGAGTAAACAGAGACCGTGATGCTGTCATGATAAACGCAGCCCTGAAGAGAGGGACAAAGTTCAGTGTAGAAATCTGTGGTCATATCATCAAAGTGACCAGGGCTGACCCATACGCCCTGACGGCAGGTTCTGTGTAGCAGGAAGGTTCTGTGTAGCAGGAAGCGGGTGGGTGGGGTGCACTGTCAGGAGGTGAAGTGGACGGACTCAGACCATGACTAGTCCTGTGGGCCTGGGCCCCAGCAGTTGGACCTTGGCTTGGCATAGAGCGAGTGTCCAGGACAGTGAATGACCCAAGGTGAGGCTGTGACACTCTTCAATCTCCCAAAGGGTGGCTCCTTTCTCCAGGTATCTCTTGACCTCGGGACCACATTCTCCTACTAGTCTTAGAGGCATTTTCCCCAAAGCCTTTTATCTGTAAGCATGAGTGTTTGCTTTTGGTCAGGTCCCCACCTGCTTTGCTTCTGTCTACCACAGGCAGCCTGGGGTGTAGCAGACACTAGCCTGGGTCTGGTACCAGGCCTTGAGCTGAGAGCAGAGAGAGGAAGGACCTTGCCATGGCCACCAGTTCCTTTGTGTTGTCCATCCTCCCAGGGGCACCAGGAACAGCCACAGTCTTCACACCTATTTCCCAGGCAAGGGCAGAGAGACAGTGGCAGCCTGTAAACCGCCTGGTAAAGGCCCAGGCTGCATGGCTCCGTATCCAGTGCTCAGCCACGTGGCAAGGTATAGATTTATAGAAATGGGTTAATTTAAGATAAAAGAACAGTTAGCAAGAAGCCTGCCACGTCCATACAGTTTATAAGTGATATAAGCGTCTGAGTGATTATTTTATACGTGGATTGTGGGACTATGGGGCTTGGTGGAACCTGGAGAGAAGCCCTCCAGCAACACACAGGTGCTGGTGGCTACAGTAAGGGAGAGCACAGTGAAGGCCGAGGCAGTCCCTCGCCAGCACTGAAATCCCACACAGCCAGGAGGGGGCTGCAGCAGTGGGATCCGGAGACTGCCTTTCTGCTTAAAGACCACGATTGGGTACTTAAGACAGACCACGTGTGGGACCGAGACTGGCCCTCCATCCTCAGGAAGGCTGGCCTAGAGTGCAGGAATAGAAAAACCGAGGATAGAGTTGTCCAAGAATGCCCCCCCCAGGGGAACCTCTGATCCAAATGAGTCACCACCCAGCCCATGCCTGACTCCCCTCCCCCATCTTTCTTTCTCCTTGGGTCAAGACAGGAAACAGCCCTGGTGGGAACTGTTGCGGTGGACAGAGCAGGATCCTGCAATGCACCTGGAAAGGCATCCTTTGCTCTCTCCAAGCCGCACATCCCTTCCTTCTGGGACCCCTAGTAAATCACTAGAGATAACAAATGGACGAGCAGGAAGCCAGTGGAGGGTGAACCAGGTCCAGTCCCTGCTGATCCCTACCAGCTACTGCAGCTCAGCTTTGCACATACAACAAAATTCTCAAGTGAGCTGCTCATGGTGACTTCTGCTTGTAATCCCAGCCCTCGGGAGGCTGAGACAGGAGGATTACTACAGCTTCAAGGCCAGTCTGGGCATCAGAGTGAGGCCGTGTCCAAACACACATATGAACGCAGAAGGAGGGCATGAGGTAGATATTCCTGTATGTCTGTCTTGTGCGTATTTAAACCTAGAAACGGCTAAAAGCCAGCCAAAAGCTGCATGTCCTGTCTTTAGAATTTTCTTAGAGTCCAGAAGATCTTTGGCCTTTCCTATGCTTCCATTTGTTACTGGCTCCTAGCAACAGTACATGAATTGTATGGGAACCCCTGCTTTATGAACTCAGGTTCAATGGCTAGCCCAGGCCGACACAATGTGTCGAAGGCCACATCCATAGTTATGGATTCCAAATCGTGTTTCCTACCATGTCCTGTTTCCCCCCATATTGCCTGAGTGTCCCAGGAGGATCTGTGGAATTAACAAGCAGGCCTTTGTTTGGTGCGGACTCACTGTGGACAATCCGTTAGAGCACTCCCTTTATTTTGGTGCACTGGCCACACTAGTCAACTCTCCTAGCTAGAGTGATTTTACCGGCTGAGTGCCAGGCCCTGTGTGTCAGGCACACACCCGGATGCCTTCTGTTGGCAAGCCCAGGCCCGAGCCTGAAAGTCAGGGCCCGGGAACCAGCATGCCACTAACAGCAGCAGCATCCCAGGGTGTCAATGGCTGTGACCCCGTGGAGCAGTGTGACAGCAGACTCCTGTCCCTGGTGTCCCTGAGCTAAGTTGGTACTCTCAGCACCAGACCCTAATCTTGTCCCCTCCC